ACTGCATGCCTGAATTAAAGTATGTGGTTAAGATATGCTTTAGAGATTTTACCATTTCAAGATTTTTGTTTAATAGATGAATACTTAAGAAATATCACATAACCTGTCTTAAAAGGGTTGTTGCTAACAAATTACTTAATGTGTCTACAGAGGTTGTCAGGGATGTTAGGGGTCATCACGTTGGAAACCTGCTCCTGTGGTTTGTTTATAGCCCAACATAAGCTTTTTTGTTCCAGTGATTCTCTTGCTGAACAACATTTGTCCTTATCATATACCTATGTTGGCCAAAGAGGTTATTTTCTGCTGTTATCCAAAACTGACAATAACAATGTGTTGCATTACAAAGGTTTAGGATAAAGCTAGTCATGGTTTAATATTACTTCTTTGAACCAGGGAATTGAGTAAAGTTATCAGCTTAGTTTGTAAACTGTAAATCTTTTACCCACAGGGCCACCTGCGAGAGGGCAAGTGCCACCTGACGCTCGGCAATGCAATGGCTGCCAACCGCTGTTTCCAGAGAGTTCTGGAGCTGGAGCCTGACCACGGCCCGGCTCAGCAGGAGGTGAGACTGACTCAGTTTGACAGAGCGTGAACTGACAACTTTGACATGATTTTCCACTCTCAGACTAGCTTTGGCCAAGCTAGTGCAAATAAAGTGGAAAAAGGCTGATACTTAGCAGCTTAAGACAAGATAAACTAGAGATGGTGTTAATTCTCAATGAGACAACCATGAGGACAGTTTTAGGTTATTGACACCAGAATGCTGCTTGCATTGTCCTGGTTTTACAAACGCTAAGCATGGCACAGAAGAGAGGCCATTGGTAGCTGTTTAGCAATACATCTACTACAGGTCTTTGAATTTTTTACCTGACTACCACAAATTCCTTACAGGTCAAGAATGCAGAGTCCATCCTTGAATATGAGAGAATGGCAGAGATTGGATTTGAGAAGAGAGACTTCAGGATGGTAAGCTACACATTAGTTACAATCTAATGATCCCATTTGTGTGGTTGGTATGTCACCAGTAACACAATATGTGATTGTGTCCAGGTTGTTTTTTGCATGGACCGTGCCTTGGAGTCAGCTGCAGCCTGTCACAGGTTTAAGATACTGAAGGCAGAGTGCTTAGCACTGCTGGGACGCTACCCTGAAGCTCAATCTGTGGCCAGGTAAAGCAGTCATTCTCACAATTAAAAGGTACAAATGAACAGTTTTCGCTTGGGCCCTGCTCCCATTATGGATGACATTTTACTATCAGTTGCTAAAAGTCTCATCGCTGCGGGGGAGCATATATTAAACATTTAAATGCTTTTTTCAGATGTGATCTCAACCTTTAAACATGATGACACAAAATGCTATGTTTTTTGTTATTTCTCCTTTGGTGTCATTTTTGTATTTGTGCTTTTTTTTCACCATAAATAATGTTTTTTTGTTCCTGTTTAGTGATATACTTCGAATGGACTCCACTAACGCTGATGCTCTGTACGTGCGAGGCCTCTGTCTGTACTATGAGGACTGCATTGAAAAGGCTGTCCAGTTCTTTGTTCAAGCCCTGCGCATGGCACCTGACCACGACAAGGCTCGGCTCGCATGCAGAGTAAGTATTATTAATCAAACATATTACAAATAAATTGTGAATTCCCTCTCATCTAATTAAGTCCTATTGAAATTGATGTTACTGTGGCCCAGAGTAGCGTTTAAGGTTGTCCTATGTCTTCTCTTTCCAGAATGCAAAAGCACTAAAAGCCAAGAAGGAGGAGGGGAACAAGGCGTTCAAGGAGGGGAACTTTGAGGCAGCCTGTGAGCTTTACACTCAGGCCCTCACAATAGATCCCAACAACATCAAGACTAACGCCAAGCTGTTCTGTAACAGGGCCACCGTTGGATCGAAGGTGAGGAGCATGCACAGGACAGATGCTACTCATTTACATCTGACAAGGTGTTTTGTGTGTCAAACAACTGTACAGGTCATCTTATCATCTTCTGTGTCTATTTGCCTAAAGCCACTGCAAACACATGTGTTGCTAAGGGGGTATTGTAGCTAGGATACTTGTAATTGCAAATGAGTCATTAGATTTGTAAATATTGCATATGAGACTGACAAGAGGAATAGGGAAAAGAGACACACGTTTCTTTAGATAAAGGTAAGCAAAGAAATATGATCAACCTTACAAAAATTACAGAACTGCATCCAATGAATTAGTATTGATAATAGAAGTTTGATCAGGCAATAATTGATATTTAAGTAAACAAGTTATACTTTGTGTATAACACACACATTCACACCCTAATATAGTTATTCATATGTAAGCACAGGCATTGTTATGGTCGCCATATTATACGATCTTCTGTCACATGAAGAGAATAGTCGGCCATCATTATTTCTCTCTCTGCCCCTCTCTTGCATTATCACACTTCTCTCTTTTTCTTTAAAGCTAAATAAACTAGAACAGGCCATTGAAGACTGCACAAAGGCCATTAAACTGGATGAGACCTACATCAAGGCCTATTTACGGAGAGCACAGTGGTATGTCCCAGTTTTTCTAACTTGGTTGTTAATAGAGAGATTATGTTTTGTCGTACTTTTTCTTCAAACAGAGGACATTATCATTATCTGCACTTCTCATATTGTATTGTTCAAACTGGACTGAGAAACAATTTCACATGTGTGCTCTCTGTGCTGCAGCTTCATGGACACAGAGCAGTATGAAGAGGCAGTGCGAGATTATGAGAAGGTTTACCAGACAGAGAAGACAAAAGGTGAGAATCCAACCCCTCTTTTTTGACAGCTGATTCAGTTTCAGCATTTTTTAACATGTCCTGTCTTTTTATGTTATCCTCTAGAACATAAGCACTTCCTGAAACAGGCCCAACTGGAGTTGAAGAAAAGCAAGCGGAAAGATTACTACAAAGTGCTTGGAGTGAATAAGAACGCCACAGAGGAGGAAATCAAGAAAGCATACCGCAAACGGGCACTTTTACACCACCCAGGTACTTAACTGAACAGAAAAGTTCCTGTAAAAACAAAGCAATCATTGTGCAATTCAGCGTATACTGCTCGGTATATACATGTATGTTTATTTCCCTTCTCCTTCCCATCAGACCGTCACAGCGGAGCTAGTCCTGAGTTGCAGAAGGAAGAGGAGAAGAAGTTCAAGGAGGTGGGCGAGGCATTCAGCGTGCTGTCAGACCAAAAGAAGAAGACACGCTATGACAGTGGTCAGGATCTGGAGGATGACGGCATGAACATGGGAGGTCAGTTCTGGGCGATTCTTGTGGTGCGGAAGGTTGAACAGAATAAAGGGAACGTCTGAGCTAATAAACCGCCTTTTTATTATTATTAAAAAGCAATCTCCATGGTGAGAATATGGCGTGAAAGTTCTCTGCGATTATGTTAATTCTTCCTTTTTGCCTCCAGCAGACTTTGATGCCAACAACATTTTCAAGGCATTCTTTGGAGGCCCAGGAGGTTTTAGTTTCGAAAGTCAGAAATGTGAGTTGAGTTTTTAATCTTTTAACCATTTAAATTTGATATCAGATATTGACTTATCTGTTTTACCTTTCAGCATCTGGTCCGGGAAATTTCTTCTTCCAGTTTGGTTAATCGGAGGAGGATTTGTCTACCTAAAGAGTTACTACATCAGGACTTTTCAACAATATCAACCCCCGACCCACCATGCGTATTTAATGACTGGCTAATTGCAAGTCAGTTCCCTGTCTATGCCATTGACTGAATGAATGCAACCCAATGACCACATGCAACAAGTGATGTACAGGCCGTATTGCAACGAGACCAAGTGCACAGGATGAGTTGATAGCATTACTGCTTTTAAATAGTTTTTTATTCTTTTCAGACTGAAACACACTTTAAAGATAGTAATGGCTGCCAACAATGGTCCAAATACTTTCTGATAGCAGAGATTGTGCAGCTATCATATCAGAGCTTTTAGGGATCCATACAGGAAGTGACATCCTTAGGAAACTTTGGAGATGCAACTAAGCCAGCTTTTATCCAGCTCACCTTACTGCTGAGGCGGCACTCTGCATGAAAGTAATAACTTGTTTAATGATTTCTGAAGCAAATCATTTAGACTGTCTCTGTAGAGGCAGACAGTTGGCTGCTACAAATTTGCACTAAAAACTGCCTTCTTGTCATAAGCCAATAGAAGCTCTTCAGCGTTTAGTTTTAAATTCACAGCTGGTGTCTAGACCTCCACTCGCAATACAGCTGAAGCACATTAGAGAGATGGCAGCAGAGACAGCGGTGCTGCCTTTGTTGACGGCAAAGTCCCCCTCCCTTCGTTGCCACAAGTTTTATGTTTGATGTTGCCATTCACAGATTGCTGAATTGTACATTTTACTGGAATGTAAAGTGTTTATTTGTGATTTTTATTTTTTTTATTTGTATATTTATTGTAAATTTGCTGTCTAACAGAACCATTGGTGTAAGACGAGGACACTTTTCTCTTAAAGGTTTGCAAGAGTTTATGATCAACCCTTTGACACAAATTCAGGAAGATAATTGTTTTTGCTTGGCCTGCACATAATATTATGCTGAGATTATGCTCCATGTGTTCATTGACTGTGAAGCAAGCTATCAAATGTTACTCAATTCAACATATGACCATAAGAAAATAACCTATGTGTTTGCTATTGTCTAAGAAAGTCAGGCAGTGTGCGATGGTTTATACCTGGTAAAGTTCAGTTACTTCCTGATGAGTGTTGTTGTTCTATTGGTGTACTTAATGAAGAAAAGAAAAGCAACCTCATCTTTACTCATTGTTTTTGCCCTTATGGTGAGACCATCCTCTTTATCCTTAAAAAAGTACCAGCCAAGTCAATAAAGTTGGTCTCTTCTGGGTTTCGTCTAAACTGTTTTTCTTTCTTTGAGTTGCATAACAATTAAAACTTGAGATAATCTATAGATATTGAGTATTTGTGCCTAGAACATTGTTAGTATTATTAGTATTTGAAAAGATTATTAACAACAAAATATGGTTGTTACAAATATAATTGTTTACATGTCATAAAGATGTATGTGTAATACGTAGGTCGTGAAGAAGATGGCACTGTTTCCCACTCTCGGTTTGTTATGTTGTTGCTAGGATACCATTTGACCGGAAACGCTTATGAGTTAAACACACGCTAAAGTTCATGTCTGCACAACCGTTTACCTAAAAATGTCAGACACAGGCCTAGATCAAGATGGACAGAAACCAAAAGGCGTATTCTCCACTTTAATGGCTGATGGAGATTGGATGTACACTAAAGGGGAGTACAAAAAGGCGATACAAAGCTATACAACGGTAAGTAACGTTAGTTACTAGCTAAGTAACGTTAGCTACCTATGCAGGGTGAGTAGCCTACAACAACACTCAAGTTTATCACGGTATGGTGATAACTACAGAACATTTTAAAATTAAAATACGTTAAGGATGTCAATGCACATTTAAAATACATTTTAAGGCCAAGTGTCCAAAATAGACTCTGAAAGTACTCAACAACATTACACAAAAAAAAGAGAAGAACAACACAGTCATTCAGATATAACAAGGGTAAGAAATATAAGTGCTTTAAGGTACACGCGTTTGTGTGGTGGAAAAGGGGTATATATAAAAAGCACCATTGACCAACAATATAAATATTGTTTTGATATACAAGGTAAGTGTTTCTTTAACCTGTACACAAAGCAAATATGTGTGTTGGGAGCAACCCAAAGAAAGGCATATCCTTCTATATCCGACTCAAACCACTGCAACCCGCTCTACAACGATGGCAAGACAAGTGTAGGCTACTCAAGGGCAAAAAAGTAACATTAAGGTAACTTGAAGTCAGACACTTGCTTTCTGCATGCTTCTTAGGTAACATTAAGCTGTCTTTGGGTCTTTTCTGCTGTAACAATTTCTCTGTGGGACTAATAAAGGTATTCTGATTCTGATAAACCAATGGGCTCCTGTTATTTCTTTTAGATTAGATTATGTGAGAAGGCAACATGTGATCTTTGGAGTTTGTCCAAAACATATTTTCTCATTGAACTGTGATTTGTTATTTTTCATTGTCCTGACAAATGCAGCAATGTATAGGCAACATACTGTAGGTATAAATACACCTTTCGTTTATTTATTTAATAATTGTAACAGTTAACAGAGTAATGTCATGCATGGAAATACACTTTTATTTTTTCCTGAGAGCATCATGTAATGACTATTTGTTTGTATTGTTCTAGGCACTGACTTTAAAGCCTGATGATAAGACATGCTACGTTGGCCGATGCAAATGTTACCTGAAGATGGGGCAATCTGAAAACGCTTTGAAGGATGCAGAGGCTTCACTCAAAGAAGACAAGTCATTTTTTGAGGTAATCTAGGTGACAGAAATGTTAATGCCTGTTAAAGTTGTCTTATATTTACAGAGAGCCAACAACCCTACACCCAGTGTAAATATGAAATCAGTTATAAAAAGTGAATCTAATACACGTTTATTTTAATCTGATTTTTTTTAGGGATTATACCAGAAAGCAGAGGCCTTGTACTACATGGGGGAATTTGAATTTGGGCTGGTGTTTTACCACAGAGGACAAAAACTACGTCCACAAATACAGGAGTTCAGACTGGGTATCCAGAAAGCACAGGAGGCCATAGAAAACTCTGTTGCAAGTAAGTAATTTGAAAATAACACAAAACTGTAGTTACAAAATAACCTCAAACAAAACACATCTTCAAACAATCCTCCTCACACCTAAAAACATTCGTTCTTATCTGGCATCTTCTAGGTCCTTCCTCTGTAAAACTGGAGATAAAAGGGGACCTATCATTTTTACAAAAAGATGAGGAGGTAAGTCTTTTTTGTATTCCCCTTTTTATAACCCAGTATTTACCAGGAAAGGTGAAGGTAGAGTGGCTGTAAGTATACGTGTCCACATTTCCTAGACTGAACATGTATTGGTATGCAAAGTTCAACCCTGATGCACAATACTGTTTTCTTTCATAATGGGTAAAGAGGGCCCAACCAATAGCTGCTATTCTGAATCTGACCACGGAGAAAAAACTGCAGACAAAGAACACGCCCAAAAGTGAGAAGACAACCAAACAACTGCTTGGAGAGTTTTACAGTGATAAGAAGTATCTAGAAACCCTACTCAAAGATGAAGGTACTGGGGGGTTTGGGGGATTTGCTTACTGCTGTGATTTTGTTTCTGTACATATTTCATTTGCTGGCAGTACAGATATTGAAAATGACCAAAATTAAATTGTTTATTTTCACTTCTTTAAGACTAATATCTAAAAGTGTTGCACAATGATCTGCAGATCTGGTAAAAGGCAAGACAAAAAGTGGGGAGCGACTTCAGGACGTCATTCAGGGCTGCCTCACATACCTTGACGTTTGCACGGAGTTTTGGAACCAGGAGAGACCTATTTGTGCACAAAAAAAGGAGCGCAAGGTCAAGCAAAACAATGGTACTAAAGGGCACAGCGCACCCTCTGAGACTGTTCAGTTTCTTCTGAAGAGCCTGGATGACATTGATGCAGGTAAGTCAGGCTTCTGGCTGATTTTGTCACCCTTGGTGTTTTTTTAAGTCTGCAAAAAATGGCTTTCTGTATGTTGCTTGTCGTAGAGTTGACATCAGGAAATGCAGAAGGTAGCCTGATGAAGGCAGAAGAAGTCATGAAGGTAGTGCAGGGCTGGTCCGAGAAAGAGGTGCCTAATAAGAAAGAGGTTATTGGCAGCCTGCACAGTTGTATTGGGAATGCCTTGATCGACCTGGGAGACATGGACAAAGCTTTGGCGCATCATCAAAAAGACTTGGAGTTGGCTAAGCAGTGGTGAGAATGTACAGTTAGACACAACATAAGTGACTATATTTGACAGCAAAACATCACATTTCTAATAATGTTTTTGTGTCAACAGCAAACTCCCAGATGCAATGTCCAGGGCTCTGGACAACATTGGGCGGGTTTACGCCCAAATTGGACAGTTCGCACAAGCCATCGAGTTGTAAGCTAAACTGCAGCTGTCCTTTGCAAAGCATGTTTTTTTACCGTTATCTTGTAATCACACCTCTCAACATGCATGACTGAAGATTAGTATATTGATTATTGTATCTTTTGATGAACATTAGTTTCATTTTATTTTCTGTGTCTGTTTCAAATTCAGCTGGGAGATTAAGGTTCCCTTGGTCTGTGGTGGTTTGGAAAAGACCTGGTTGTTTCATGAGATCGGCAGGTGTTACCTGGAGCTCAATCGCCACGAAGAAGCCCGAGCCTATGGCGTCCGCTCAGTGGCTGCTGCCGATGAAATTGCTGATGAGAAATGGCAGATGAATGGCCATGTTTTGGTGGCACAAGCAGAATGTAATTATCTGTTTTTTATATAATACTATTCGACATTGTCTAATATTTATAATTTGAGAAACTGTGACATGTTATCTTATTACTCAATATTTCAATTTATATGTAATTAGTGTCAGTTGTCAATCAATGATCCATCTGATAAATCAATTCCCTTCTGTTTCTCTCAGTGAAACTTGGAAACTTTGGATCAGGTGTCTTTCACTTTGAGAGAGCTTTGACTCAGGCCAGATTGCAAGAAGATGACTCTGCCACGAATGTCATTCAGAAGGTTTCCTCTTTGTTGTCTATGCTTGTCTTCGCCATATTTTGTAGTTCCATTTAAGGAAATATTTGTTTTGCTGAAATTTATCATTCTGTTTTCAGGCCCTTGATGAAGCCAAGCAACACCTTCCACAGTGAGGATGACCATCGCAAGATGTGTGGTGCTTGAGTGTTAATTAAGCAGAAGGCATACAGAAAACACATATAATAAAATGGAAAATTGTAGAATAAAAATATATCAATAAAAGGAAACTGGCAACTGAGATATTATAATTTTCTTAAAATGCATGAATGCATTTTGATGGTCGCCTTAGAAACACATTTTTCAATAGACCTGTTTTAAGACACAATCATTTATAAGCAAGACCCAGTTTTATTTATGTAATAACTTCTTAAAGGTCACACACGTTAACCAGATCCTGGATCTCAGGGTTGTACTGTAATTCTATCACTTATTTCAGCTAACATTGAGCTCACAACGCCATAGAGTAGTGATTGTGCATACTGTTCTCTGAAGTAAAAGATATGTATATGGAGAAGTGTTGTGAAGCTCAATATCTGGCCTACATCCTTATTTTCAGTTATCTCCATATACAAAATACAGAGGGATCTTATCACACGTTTTTACATGCACACCGCTACCTGCCATCCATAAACCTTGTTTGCTCTTGATAACTTATCAGTTCCCCATACAGAGCTACTTGCTGCAGGGAACTTCCTCTTTCTGAGACAGTAAAATAGCAATTAATGTTCATTTCCTGCTTTTGATAATAGCTTACTTTTTCTATATATATATATATAGTTCTTTTTTACGAATGTGAAACAAAGTACAGTGGTACACAGTTTAATTTCAAAGGGTTTGGTAACGTCAAGTATGTTTAATTTTTTTATTTATTAAGATATAGTTCTGAGCCTGAAAATTGTGCAAGTAGCCCTAAGTAAAGATTTCCACAACCATTTTTCATGTGCACTTTGTCACTTCATTTATGTGTTACATAGCTGTGTCAATTATCTTTTGCCTATTTATTTATTAGCTTACAGACTACGTAAGGCACACACAAAATACGAGAGAACTGATAACAACAAAAAAACTAAATGATTTTTTTACACTTCATATTATTTATTTATTTTCAAACTATACAAAAAAGATTTTAAATATATGTAAATGAAAAATAGTTAAATGAATTTGGAGAAATACTACAAAGCTGTGTCAATATTTTTTTGCATATTGTTGTATTAGCTTACAGTCACACACAAAATACGAGAGAACTGATAACAACAACAAAAGTAAAGCATTTTTTACACTTCATATTATTGTTATTTTTTTCTTATTTTAAATCTTCTCCAGTGGCGTCCTTCCGGTCCTCAGGGGCGTGCCCGTAACCACGCCCAGTTGCGCGTTACCGGGAATTTCCGTTTTCCTCTTGAAGAGCGAAGCGGGTGCATGTGTGTGCCAGGGTTTGCCTTGTCATTGTATCCTGAGAGAAACGCGTGGTCAGCGGCCACCGACAGCTCCACTGCAGCCTTACCGGTAAGCTGGCATTTCAGCAAACAAAAGCCTTTCATACAGAGTGCTACTGCTCGTCCTTCATGTAATAGTTACTTAATAATTGCATAGACAGCCTGCAAAGAGTTGCTCCAATAACATACAGTGATTTGTAAACGCCAGAAAGACATGATGTTAGGACGTGGCGCTGTAGCTCGTGATGATATAGCCAGCATTACTGACTGCCAGGCTAAATTGTTTTTGTCTAGCGTGCTAGGTGCACGCCACTCCCCGCCTGGCCACATTGTGCAGTTAGTAAAAATGCAAGGATTTTCGTTTTCTCTGTGTAAAACAAATCAAATCAAAACAATATTTGAGCTCACTTGGACGCCGTCTTCGAAACTTATTTCATAAAGCAATATTCTTAATTACATTTTGTATTTAATCTAAACTTGCTACCATAATGCCTCGATGCGACATTTACTGATACTGTACCCTCCTTTTCATATCGAAAGAGATAACGTTTAATACATGTGAAAGTGTCCTTATTTTACCTTTTACTTCAGTTTACTTTCTCTTTTTGTGTATTCCCTAACTGGAAAAATACTGTTAAATGTTTGTCTTTGTTGACACATTGGGTTGCTGTGAGAGCTTCCCCTTCTGTCTCATGACACAATGTGGTTTCACACGTAGGCCTATGTTTAATCCAGTCTTTATTACCACATATTTCACTAAAATGTCAAATAACCTGGCACACGGTGGAGGTCACAATACAATGAAGTCATCATTTTTCAGCATTGCCCCGTTTTTTAAGTTCCCTTTGTCTATTTACTGTAAAGGTTATTGCGGAGGTAATTTAGCAATGGTAAGGTATAGTGTTGTTGCAGGCAGGCTTGTGTGTCTATAACACTGTCTTTGTGTTTTTAAGACATTTTAATTATAATTTGATTGAGCTGTGGTACCTAAATGTTGCCCACCACTCCTACTGTATGCCCAAGGGTATAACACCTCTACTGAACCCAAATGTGTCCACGTCTTGCACATTGAAAATGTCTAAAACGTTTATTATATTATAAAAAAATCCACCTCCTTTAACTCCCGTCTCTTTCTCAAATCATTGATATTGGGTAACTTCCTGTTTGAGACATTAAAAACCACAGTCCTTATAAAACAATTTGATTTTGGCCTCTAGAAGGGTCTGACAAAATGCAGTCGGAAGTGAAAGTATAAAAGCATATTCCCTTTTTTTTTTATTTCAGTTCAACCAATTTCAGTCAGCTTTAATTTAGAATTATGCTGTACCACAGGGCCAACGTTTCTGAAGCTTGTATCTATTTAAAAATTGTTTCCAAATTCATCATTGATCTAAATATATCATTTCTCTCTTCTCTAATTTTACATTTAAGGTACATGGTTCTGAGTTAAGTCCGACTTTAGGCTAGACATGGACACTGGAAAGAGTGTCGAGGTTTTAAATGCATCAGAAAGTCCACAGCAAGAGGACACTGACATGGAAAAAGGGATTGTGTCAAAGTTGGAGACTCCAGAAGAATTCTCAGAGCCTGAGAACCCCCCAGCTGTTGAGGAAGAGACCGAGCAGCTGGCGGTGAATGGCCATGATAAAAAAGTCATAAACTTGTCAGAAACAGAAGAGTTGATTGTGACGGAAAATGTTGTGCTGTCTGAGGAAAAAACTAAAATGGGGGACAACTTGCCCACAGAAAAATCTGAAATGGAGTCTGAGGCTAGTTTGGTGGCTGCACCAGAACTAGATGAGTCATCTGAAAAGATCTCTGAGCCACATGCAGCTCTACACGCAGAACCAGAAAACATCCAGCTCTTGCCAGAGAATGACCCAGAACCTGTGCCAGTGCAAACACCTCTGGCTGAGAGTGCCCCTAAACCAGAGCCAGAGAAATTGGCAGAATCAGTTCCACAAGCTGAACCGCAAGAGCAAACATTGCCTGAACCAACTGCGCTGCTGCCGGCAGTAGATAAGCAGTCTCCTAGCAAAGAGGAGGTAATGTCAGAACAAGTGGAAACTGAGACAGAATTGCAGATGACATTAACTAGTGGGAAAGAAGAAGTTCCAGAAGAGAGGGTTGTGGAAAAAGATATCCTAATTGAGCCTACAAAGGAAGTGGCAGAAGAAAAAGTGGCGGAGATTGTGTTGGTAGCAGGAGAAAAAGTTGCGGAGACTGTATTCGTGGCAGAGGTTGCCTCAGAGAAGCCAACAGAAGCTGTGACATTGGCTGAGGCAGCAGAGCCAACAAAGGTTGTGGAAGAAGAAAAAGCAGCTGAGACTGTGTTGGTAGCAGAAGTTTCCTCAGAAAAGCCAACAGAAGTGGTTCCATTGAAAGAAGAGGCATCTGTGAAACCTTCAGAGGCCGAGAAGGAAGTTGAACCAGAAAAATCAGTGGAGTCTGATACTCTGAAAGGAGCTGAAGCAGCAGCTGAAACCTCTGAGAAGAACGATGCTGAGGTTCAGAAGGAAGAGGATGCAGTCCCTGCATCTGGCTCCCTGGCCTTTGCCCTCCTGGAACAACAGAAAACCAAAGACTCCATGCGAACCTCTCGTACACTTGTCGTCCTCAGAGGCCTTCCAGGAAGTGGTAAAAGCTTCCTGGCGCGTGCCATAGCAGATGCCTACGAAGACCACTGCACTCTTATCACTGCTGATGACCATGGTATAAAGCCAGAAAATCCAGAATCCTCTGTCGATGGGTACAAGGCTCTGGATGAGGCTGTGGTGGCCTGCTGCACTGCAGGGACCACCTCATCTGTGCTGATAGTGGTGGATGACACCAACCACACCCAGGATCGGCTGGCTCGCATGGGGGAACTTGCCGAGCAACACCACCTTGTTAGTGTCTTTTTGGAGCCACTTACTGAATGGAGCCGAGATCCAGCTCAGCTAACTAAGAAGACCAGGCGTGGACTGGAGGAGGCCCAACTGGAGACCATGAGGGGTCCACTAGAGGAAATGTCCCTTCCTCTCTTCTTTGGCTGGTTTCTTCTCTCCTCCGTCCAGGACAAGGTCCGATGCACATCAATGGACTTCCTGAAAACTCTGGACACATTGGAGGCCTTCAAGAAACACTTGAGTGACTGTGAGTGTATCTTATGTTGTGTTAATTTATTGCAAACTATTAAGTTTTTAATATGTTTGCCATGACTAAAATGCAACCAATATCGTCTTGTGATTACAGTCACTGGGAAAGCTGAGAAGGAGGTGGATTTGGAACAATACTTTCAGGCCAAAGGAACCCTCCATTGCACTACGAAATTCTGTGACTACGGAAAAGCTCCTGGTGCCAAAGAATATGCTCAGAACACAGTAAGATCTGTCATGTTATACTTGCTTAATATGTGTATTTATTTTATTTGCAGTAAGTTACCAGATAAATATCAATTTGATGGCTTGATGTGTGCAAATATTAGTGTAAGTGAACAACTGACTTATAAAGAGATGTTTTACAATGAATAATGAATTGAGATATATATTTTCTAAACTCTTCAATTGGCATACTTATCACGCTACATCTCACATGTTAATAGCTAGCTCGTTACAAATAAACTTCCCTTTTTGAAATGTTCCGCCCCTTTACAACCCTAGTTTATAAGCTGTTAATAAGTGTTTTATTTCGTGCATTGTTAGTGCTCATTTCAAAGAGTTTTCTCATCCTATTCTTTCCTCTGCTCTTCAGGCGGTCAAAGAATTCTACGGTTCTGCATTCGAGTTGTCCCTGAGTGCCCTCTTTGTGACTCCTCGCACTGTTGGTGCCAGAGTGTCCCTCACCGAGGAGCAGCTTCTGCTGTGGCCAGCTGATCCCGAAGAGGAGGCAGGGTCCACCTCCCTGCCGCGGGGAAGCCGTGCACACATCACCCTGGGATGTGCCGAGCATGTTGAGCCAGTTCAAACGGGTCTGGATCTGCTCGAGATCCTGACCCTGCAGCAGGAGGGCCAGCAGGGGGAGCCCATCGAGGAGATGGAGCTTGGCTCGCTGACCTATTACGGCGAAGGAAGGTGGCTGCTCACCCTCAGGGAGCCGATCTGCACCCCGGCCTGCTTCTCCAGCTTCTACGGGCGCAAGGAGGTAGAGCTGACCAAAAAAGAACCAGAGAAGAAGAAGAAGCAAAAGTGCACCATACTGTAAATGGCAAACATGGGGATGTGTGGCCGGGATGACTGGTGAATTACGGTTAGGCTTACTCTGTGCAAGGTTTGTGGGTTTCAGTTATAGCCACCCTAAATCCACAAGCTGTGTGCCTTTTTTACTGTTGATTTGCACCACAACCTAAGATGCCTTTAATACAGACAGGCTTGTTGTCAACGTTTTTCGGTATCTTGTTTCACAGATCTGTTGCATTTCCTGGCTATTTGATGAGGAGGTAGCTGCAGTTTTAGACTAATGTAGTATAGCATCCCCCTACAGGTCCACAGTTATCAACAACTTAGATTTCCTCCTCGGTACATGTCTTGTCTCTCAGTATTCAGATGTTAAAAATTAGGTACTTTCATTGCATGCTTCCCAGTATTGGCATAATAGCAACTGTAAGCCTTTCTAAAAGAACCTTTGCCGCTTAGTTGTAAGTGAAAAAGATTAGCTGTCACTTCGGGACGTGTGTGTGTGTGTGTGCTGCCTATGAAATAATTGTTACAACAGCATATGGGCCAAAGTTAGCTAATTGATTAAGTGTATTAAAATGTATGTCATTAATTGAGGTCCTTCCTTGTAAAATCTTTGCACAGTGCATAGTTTAAAGGGAGAATGCTGATAAATTGTGTTTGTTTTAACAGCTTGCACTTAGTTCTTATCAAATGCTGTGAATCCAGGTTCATATTTTGCAATCTTTTCTACTGTTCAAGGCTGCATCATTGATCTGTTTTATTGTCTTTGAACAGCACTTCCATGTATTGCATTTCAATTTGTATCCTTTGTGTCTAATTGTTGAAGGACAGTTCCTACTTTGTAGCTCTTGCGAATCACTATTTTTGCACTTGTTTTGTACACTTAATAAAAAAGAACATGCTTTGCTCCAATTACGCAGTCTGTTGTATGTTCAGTACCGCTGTTTGGTTATTAACATGCAGGCTAGTTGCTGCAAGTTTATTTGCACATGGTCATTTTCTTAAAGTATCCGGCTGTAGTTAACCATATAAACCAGCAGAGGGCACCCATTCTTTGTTCAGTGTGTACTGACAAGTTGTAAAAGGTTTAACCGATGAATCTGTATTAGCTTCTGGTGCATTGTGTGCACAACTGTACTTTAAAGCTTTCATCCCATTTGTTTTACCCAATGCATTTGTGCTTAATCTCTTAGGTTATTTTTGCACCTTATTAGAGTGACTGCCACAATTGCCAAACAATGTAGGTTAAAACAAATACTGCTTTCTGTTTATACATCTTTACTTAACAGTGGGGATATACTTAGAAATTCCTGCAGTCGGCATTTGACTTGACACAAATGATTGTAAGGTATTAGAACCAACACATACTTAGCAAACACAAAATAAAAGTTATAATTTTGTGGAATGGCTTGTTATGTTTTCATTATATCATTGATCTACATTTTTTATGCACAAATCCCTTTTTAATGTTGCAGCTGGTAAAGGTGGAGCTTGTGTAACATATTTATTTCCTGATAGCTTTTGAATTTAATAGAAGGATCAATAAAGTCTTATCTCTATAATAATACGTGTTTTGGATTGCGTTTTAGTCCATACTAAAGGTATTTTGTATAGTTAGTTAGAAGTTACTTTTACAGTAATTGAGTAAATGTACTTTGTTACTTTCCAACCTTCAAAATGTCCAACAAAAATCAATTTCATTTAAATAAGTGTAAAATACAAAGAAAATGTTTTATCATGCACAAATCTCCATACATTAAATGTAAACTTGTTGCTAACCATAACTTAAAGACTGTTTTAATACTATAAGTGCCAATTAACTGAAATATGAAAACGTGTGTGTGCTCTCCACCACATCCTTGAAAAGATAACTGGTATTGGTTTATGGTCAAGGACAGGTAAAAGAGCATGACCTGGTGCTTTGCATTCACATTGTCCCCTCACAGTGCACGATGGTCCGTGCAGGATACCTGATGTGTTGGCTGTGTGCAAGATGAAGCGATTTCCTCATTGGTTGCTGTTTACATAAAGAACAATGTCAACCAATCATCATCAGCCCTCCTTCTCAAAGTCTCGTGTGTGTTTGTGCGAGTGCACAAGACGAAGAAGAAGAAACAATGATACCTTCAAGTACTCCCCGTAATCACTGTTGTTGATTTTGTCCAATAATCTTATTTTATTATATGTGAAGTTTATGGAAAATTCAAGTGCTTTTGATCAAACGTATTCAAATGATGTACTTGTGTTCCTTCCTGTCTCAAAATATGATGAATTTGTGTTTGTTTCTGCTAAAAAAGATTTTGTGTTTTTCTGAGCACTTCGAGTTGCACATTAATTCTGAAAAGGATTTTACCCAAGCAATGTTTTACATTCGCTTTCAATGTAGTATCCACAGTATGTTTAAGTAGCCTACATTTATTTAAATAAATGCTCTGAATATTTATTTCACCATTGCTTCTTTGCCCGTTTGAATTTTATTCTATACGTGTGCCTTCCACCGTGTTGTTGTAATATTTCCTAGTGTCCCTGAAGGCATCAATAGAGCATGGTGTGGATTAAACCAATCATAAACCAGGAAACGTCAGCCAAGCCTATCGGCAGATGGGCGATGGAGACAAAACTCCCAGGAAGCGCTGCTCTCCGGCACCTCTGGTATCCACAGTGAATCAGCACTGCCGATAAATTCCGCCTTGTAACCGCAATTTACTTCCAGAGTCGTCTAAGGAAGAAAAAGACAAGGTAAATAACTTATTGTTATTAAAAATAACCATTTATTTAACTTTTGTTCATTACCTGTCCTGTCTCTCTTTCACTGTCTCTTTCTGAACTGCTCTGTCAAGCCCAGCAGCTCTCCTGCTTCAACAGATTATGAAGCAGAAGTTATAGTCATCATCACTAAACGTGTTCTTTGAATGGTGTGGTGATGTTGATATTTGCCACACAAATATATTAAAAAAATCATTGCTGTCTGGCCGGTTCGTTAATGAATGAAAGACTTGTCTGAATCCTTTCTCTCTGGGATCTTAAACCGTTAAAAAGTCAAGCAGAATTTGTGTTACTACGTGAGTATGTCTTAAGTGAATATAAAGCTTCACTTTAATTTGTTTACCTTCCTGTCTGTTTGTTTTTGCTTTAGTGTGCACTTGTCCTGATTTAGAGCTGTGCCTTCATATAGCCCCTCCCCCCAACCCCAACCCATCCATCACCCCCTACATGTTTTTCAATGTTATTGTGCATCATCTGAATCAGTTATTATTGCTGATGCGAAGCAGTAACATTCAATACATTTGACAGGTCAGTTGCACAGAGAAAGTGGATGTTATATATTGTCCCTGGATGAGCTTTGGAAAAACCATGTTCTTGGTGACTCAGGGACACAAGGAAGATCAATAGTAAGGACCAGGACAGTCCCATTAATCCATTGAAGGAATAGCTGCCAGGGCCGCAGTGTTTGGGACAACACCAGAGCTCTCAGCCTAATGAACCACGTAGAAACAGATAGAGCCATCCTGCCAAGGTTACATGATAGAGTTAAGCTTTGATTTAGGAGATATTGTAATAAAGCCTTGTGTTATAGCCTTAATATGCAACTTTCTTCAATACTGATGTACATTTGCTGCAAGGAGTGATATTATTTGCCTCAGTGGGATCCGTTGGAGTAGGTAAAAGCAGGTGTCGCAGCAGAAAAACAGATACTGTTGCATTCCATTGACCCTGCCAAAAAATCTTTTCTTTAATCTAACAACACTTCTATCAGTTTAAGTCTACCATTAGAAAACTAAACACTTTGGGTAAGATACAAATTTATGAATAGATTTAAAGATTGATGTAAAAAGGCAACAGCAAACATCTGGGAGAGGTTCAGTGGCGTAGCAATCCTTTTGACAACACCATATTGTTGTGATGTCATTCTAAATAACACATAAAAATAGATTTTTCTATTTTTTCCCGATCGTCATTGAAGACAAATTATTCCATGCTGCGTCATGCGCTACCTCTAGAGAGAGATGAGGATTTGTTTACTCTTTGAATCTATATTATTGTTTTCATGGGAGTTGGCATTGGTGGAATTATTCACCTTTCTTCATGACTTTGCTCTGATAATAATATTTGCTGTATTTGTGTATCCTCGTAGGAATAATGATTTTAAATCCCTGTTTTAAATCGTCCTGTTGTGAGTTGTGTGTTTCACCCATTCTTGAGATTACCTTTATAGAGAGAAGCTTGAGGCCAAAGTGTAAAGGTCAAAACTCCTCCCTCTTGTCATAACATTTATGGATGCTATCACAAGTTATTTAATTTCATACTTTACTTCCGGCACAATAAATGTCAGGTCTGTGCTGCTTTCCAGTGCTGCTAATAAACATTCACATCTGATCAGCCTGTTACTTGTGTATATTATTGTGAGTCCTGTTCCTTCTCTGTGTAATCTCAACTGTAGGAAGGAGCCTGATTGTTTGAGTAGCAAATAATTGCCCATTACCTCACAAGTGTGCAGGTCGAACAAACCAAGGCTTATCGTGCTGCCTTCAGCTTCCCTGACTTCACTGTCTGTGTCTTGCTGGTTTCAGCACACTTAATAAACAATGTGACTGCAAAAAGACAGGAGTCCTGAATTTGCACTTAGTGTGTAATCAGATTTTCTAGCAGTCTCTCTTAATTCTGTGCAGTTAAACAGCATTACGGAAGGCTGTTCATGGAAAATACAAATAACAACGCTGTCTTTCACCTGCTTACCAGAGCCTTTCTGACTGATCTGACAGCAGAGGATGTCAAGCAGGTTTCTTTTCCTCTTTCATAAAGGGGATTAATTCAGAAAGCCAAACAATAGAAACCCTCTCTTTCAATTTGACTCTCCATTTTGTTTGCCTCCTTTACCGGTTCCCTCCATGTCCCCATGTCTATTTATCTGTATTCATCCATCTCACTGCTAATGTGTATATCTCCCAATCTATCTCTCTGTGTCCATCTTCCTCCTCTCAGGCCAGTCTAGCCTCAGCAGTCATGTCGGCCAAAGCCATCTCCGAGCAGACGGGAAAAGAGTTCCTCTACAAACACATCTGCACATCGGCAGCCGTCCAGAACAGATTCCGATATGCCAACGTGAAGGCAGAGACCGACTTTGACCAGCTGGCGAAGGAGCACCCATGGCTGCTCACAGAGGTGAGGCAGAGGAACCAGTTTGACAAAACTGAAGGTTGATCATGACGTAAGATTTTCTTAAGCTGAGTGAGCAGACAGGTTGTTATCTCATATTTATAGCCTTTTTAAAAAGCCTAAAGCACAGCCACTTCATCTGGCACAGAAAATGATCTTCCCTTTATGGAGACAATTACTTAGGCTGCAGCAGAGTGCTCTCCTGATGCTTGTTAGCTGACGTCTCCGACAGAAGAGCAACCAAGCAATTGGATTTGAAATGAAGCATTAAACAGAAGTGTACACAACAGAGAAATGCTCTTTTGTCTTCCATTCTTTATATGTAAACAATATTTCTCACTTGCAGAGTAAAGGGAGGTCAAGGTTCAGCAAGGGTATCATTTCTTATAAAAACATTTCTCCAGGTCGCCCTGCTTTCAGATCAACTCTCTGTTCCTCATAGCGAAGCACCAGCAGATAGACGGGCTCTAATAGGAGTTAATTGAATTACGTCGTGACTCATCCTGCAGGGTAAGATGACATTCTCCCCCTGTGTCTCCATACCGGCTGAAGGATTTGTATCTGCAAGGTACGAGGAGGAGATATGTGCTGCAGTTAGGATTGATTAGGAAATCACATTAACTTTCACCCTCGGCCCTCTTACTTTGCTCACTGGCGAGCGCCCAGATACTAATGGTCCGCTGTCATAAGTCATTCTCTTTATCTGTCTCGCAACTGAGAGGAAGCGGGCTCAGTCGGCGGGGGTTAGGTTTTGC